CTCGAGCATGTGCAGTTTGGCAGCCTCCCCCTCCCCCCTGACTCTTCCTCCCCGGCATCTGATCGTGCCGGGGAGCAACGGCGTGCGGTGCACGGGATCCGTGGGATCCCGCCCGCGCGGCTCTATTTTGGTGCGGCTCTATTTAGCCACGCTTTGACGGGTGTTTTCCCTGCCGTGTGGCAGGGGCCAATGATTTGCTTAAATGCATGAATGACTCAAATCTTAGCTGAAAAACAGTCTAACCTCTCACTACTGATCTTGTTTGATATTAACTTCCAGTAATGCCAGAGTACTTGCACACATTAAAAGGGGAAAACATTAAAATATTTCATAGAAATACTAAGCCGGAGCTGAGCCAGGATAATTAAGCTGGAAACAATTGGACATCACCTTGAGTAATCAAGGCTGCAGTCCTAAGAACACTTACCTGGAAGTAAGCCCCAATGAATAAAATGGGACTTCCTTCTGAGCAAACAGGCACAGGAAACATCCTTTAGAAGTTGGTTGGCAAGGGATGGAACCCTGAGTTTCTCCACGTCCTATTTCTACCAGCTTTGACATAGAGAGGGCTTTTGCAGCTTGGTGACACTTTTCTCATAGCTTGGTTTGAATGTTATTCTGAGCAATGGTGCCAATACAATCAGGTTAATGGCTCCATTCACTTTAACATTTAAAATATTTATATACTGTTGATCCATAGCACTGGGATGGGGAATCAGCCACAATCAGGGCAAAATATATTGCTTTTGGAAATACATGGATATCAGCTACAAGTGACATAACAGTGCCAGTGCTTCACAGTAAATATCACTTGCATTCATTTTAATTTTACTTCGTGCATAGCTAAGAAAAAACTAATTACTCTTAGATTTTATATACATGTTGCTCATTTTCTCTGTTACTTATATTTTTAAGTATACTACAGCAGCTGTCAAAAAAGTTATGTATAGTATATTTATTATGCAGTTGTTCAATTCCTTACCTTTTTTTGTATACAGAGACATCATTTTTCAAACTCAGTAAAAGCTACAGTCAGGTACAAGATTAATGCTAACACTTGACAGAGTTCCACAAAATAACATAAACTTTTCTCCACAGAAAACCAGTCACTGTAAATGATGAATGTTTCAACCCAGAATTCTGTCCCATAAAAAGCCTTGTCCAATTTCAGAATAAAGGACTCTGAATTCCATGTTCAGAGGCAGCATGTCTTCAAATACAGTTGCTGGCGGGAAACTATGGGGTCGGGGAAGGAGTGCTCTTGCATTCATGCCCAGTTTATAAGGCTTTCCAGAAGCATTTGGCTTGCCACAGTTGAATAAAAAATGCTCAACAAAACGAACTCTTGGCATGATCAAGCAGGGCTCTTTTATATCCCTCGTTTATACTTAAAACATAGACCTCTTTTTGCCCTTCACACTTGCCCTCTTGGCAATTCATGAACTCAAACTTTTAGCAATTCACATGCTGGGACTTGTGTGCTGGTAGTCTGTTCAAACTGCATGTATGACATACCTGATACAACTGTGACTGTTTCGATTTTAAATCAGAAGTAGGAAATCTGGGGAAATTTATAACATTGCCATGTAGAGGGGGGAAATATACTATCTTAGTGCTTTTCTCTAAGAAACGTTTTGCCACACAGACCAAATCAACCTGTGAAATAGTAATGTTCTGCAGAAGTTAGCATAATTCATGATGTGCTAAAGGGGAAAAAAAGAAAATTATATGAGGACTACTTTGTCTGAAAACTGAATCTTTTAGAAAAATTGTTCTTTTTTGGAGTCATCAACAGCCCCTAATTATTCTTCCGTTATTGTCACCAGATAATGAAATCTACAGTAATGTATCCTTCCATGTAAAGCCATGGAATAATTTTAGGAAATAAAGTCTAAAGGCTAAAGAAAAGACACTGCCCAAGTAAGGGAAAAAATAATTCAGGCCAGATGGTGTCAAAGGAAAGAATGTCCCAGAAACTGTATGAAAAGAAGGACTGAGAGGCCAAAGTGATGTCCTAAACATCCAGAAACATTTTATTTTGTACTTGTATGTGTGAGAGAGAATCAAACAGTTAGCACCATAATCTGATTACTTCACAGTCCTGCTGAGAGGCCAGAGTTAGGCTTTCCCAAGGGATACAAAACACTGAGGCATGAACATATTTCATAACATGAACACTTCTAAATGCAGGTTGCTTTTATGTGTAACTGGTAACATCTGGGAACTGCTTGCAAATGTTTTCCTTTCTGTTAAAACATAAGACAGTTTCTGAATAAATTGCCTGAGAATGGTTTATGTTTAATGCAAGGCTATGGTGCTTCTTTAGGCACAATGTTGGATCTCACACCAACAGTTACTAAACAACGTTTTGCTAGTGTTTTTCCAGGTACAATCCTGTTTTAGGATTTTACATTGATGTAGTTTTCTTCATAAACTAGCACAAAGTTTTCTACATGACCAGTTTGAAGATCATAGTACAGGTCTGAGAGAAGTTTCTGAACCCTCTTTTATAAGGTGCTTGCAGATATAATTTGGACAGTATAATTTGGTGCAGTATTATATAATGTAAACAGTGCAGCTCTTCTGATAATGCACAGGAAGCATTTCCCCTACAGAACATACTTTACAGTAGCCTGTGAGCTTACTGTACAATCTGGCAAATTAATTCCCCATATCCTCAAGATTAGAGACCATGGAGAAGACATAGTTTGTTTCACAAAAAGCTTCTAATGTATAAAGGTTTTGAATTATAAAGTAAAAGGATGCTGGAATGCCATCAGAGCAACAGCATGTAATATTTAAGTCTTTTCTGTTAATCACAATGAATCTGGGCCCCATCCCTTCTGTATTACTTTCTGCATGAGGGCTACCATATTACTGAGAAACCCAGAAACATGCAAGATTCTAGATACTCCACTTGGTATCCACTAAGACTACTATGGTCCCTGCCACACGGGGGGGAAAAAGAAGACCAAAAGAGACACGCAGCGGCGGGATCACATAGATCCCCTGAGCCGCTGCGAACTTCCTCCCCGGCACGATCAGATGCTGGTGGAAAACCACAGAAAGAAGAGCGTGGCAGCCGAACTGCGAATGTGTGCGCATGCGCAGTTCGGCGGGGAGCCGGGATTGATACGCACAATAGGCGCAGCAGCGATCCCACGGCCGCGCTTGCTGCGGTGCTGCAGGTAAGTCCTCCTCTGTAGGTGGTTCTTTTTTGCAGCGGTGTTTCCGTGGTTAGGTACGAATCGGGGACGGGTGTGCGCCGCTTCCCAGATGTTGCGGTGAGATCGCGCCCGTTTGCTGTGCCCCCAATCCGTCCCTCTCCCGGCCCAAAACCTTCCGTGTGACCGGGGCCCATATATACAGAATTCTTAACAGAGCCTTAATACAAAATACAAACTTTGAAAACAGTTTTGTATTTGAGCTTTCCTTTTTATTTGCCCCCTCCTCTTTTTTCTTGCAAACATCTTTGGTCATGAAGGTTTGAAACTAGGGTTGCCAGCTCTGGGTTGGGAAATACTTGGAAATTTTGGTGGTGGAGCTTGAGAAGGGCGGGGTTTGGGGGAGTGGAGGGACTTCAACGGAGTACAGTGTACTGCCTGCCATAGTACTGTCCCTTCCAAAGCAGTCATTTTTCTCCAAATGAACTTGTCTCCTCTCTGTCACCTGGAAATCAGCTGTAATAGCAGGAGATTTCCAACTACCACCTGGAGGCCGGCAACCCTATTTGAAACTTACTTTACAGTGAAATCCAAGTAAAGAGTTGGCCAGTCTGCTAGCTGACTCTGCTCATACCTTGAATAAAAATTTGTTGGTCTTAAAGGTGCCACTGGACTCAAACTTTGTTCTACTGCTTCAGACCAACACGGCTACCCACCTGGATCTACTGCATCAGTTTTACATTTCCACAAGCTAGGCTTTTTTTTTTTTAAGACTGTAAATAACAGATCTATTAAAATAGTGGCTCTGGTTTTATTTATCAGCCTGCTTCTGATCTGTAACTTCACTGTTGTTAAGATGTTAAAAAAATCAAAATAATTTCCAGGACACCTCAGTTATTATTTTTTTTAAATATCAGGAAATATTTTCTCAGTCAGTGCTCAGTTTCTCATATAGACACACACAAGACACTTAATAAAACAGATTACAAATCTGGGCATGGGAAGGAGATGGGAAGGAAAAGAACTATTTTTTGCCTACAAACAAAAGTATCTTTTTTAGTTCAGTGAAAGCATATGTTCTCATGTGGGCATGCATATTGTTTGTACTGGATTCAGTCCCACTCTGTAAAATTAAGCTCAACGAGAACAAGTCACTGAAAGTAAGATATCCATATGCTTGATTGTAACTGCTTTAACAAAAGCTTGATTAAATTCTTACTTTTATAGTTAAATGAGGCAATCCTATGGATAAAGATCAAGAAGAGATGAAACAAGTTCACAATCACTTTTCTGGTTGCGACGTGTTCTTTCTCTCCTTTTAACATTTTATCCAGCTGATGGTTGTTTCAGTTTAGGCTGGGATTTTCAAATAAATGCAAAATATTTTAAGGCACTGCATTTCCATCTCATGATGATAGTGATGACTTGCAGCACCACAGGCTCTTCTTCACAGAGTTTCACAAATCCCTCTCAAAGGCAGGCCCTGCCCCCCACCAAGCAGTTTACAGTCTACCAACTGTGATCAGACAACGGAGGGTGGGAAGAAAAAGGCTGGGGTAGCCAGAGGTTAATATGGACAAATGCAGCTTAACAAATTTGTTTACAGATCAGGGGATGAGAACTGATAACACTTGAATAACAGATATTCTTTTTTTCTACTGAAAAAAAAATCTTACAATAGAAGCTTGAAGGGAGGAGTGACTATAATCCAGTTATAGTTTACATATTTGTACTTTGTCTGCTTTTGTTTTCATGTACAACAACTATACTATATTTCTGTTTATCACAGTCAAATCTCAAACTTCAGATATGTTCATAACTAGTAATGGTGCTTACCCGAGGGCCAACGTCCCCTTGATCACCCTATAAAACAGAAAAAGGACCATTTCCTCTTGTTATGGTTCATTTATCATTTCTAGTGTCACTTGGATGGGAAAAAATTTATTCATTACATTTTTATCCTGCCTTCACAGGAAAAAAGGCATTCATAGATTGTTCTGTCATCTGTTTTACCCTCAAAGATCCCTGTGAGGTAAATTAGGCCAAGAACAAGTGACTGGCCCAGAGTCATCCAATGAGAATCATGGCTGAGCCAGGATTTGAATTCAGGTTTCCCCAGTTCAAGCCCAATACTCTAACCACTAAACAACACTGAGTCTATATCCTTTACATCTCTCTCTCTCTCTGGGTGCGTTCAGATGGGGCATTTAAGCCGGTATAGAAGCCAGTTAGAAACGGAGTACTTACGCGCGATCACACGCACAACATCTGCCTTCCGTCCCTAACCGTTGCCAACTGTCGCAAATACCCCTTAAACCAGTGTAGTTTGCCACTAGGTACCCAAGTGGTGTTTTCCTGAGTGCTCTAGTTCTAGCCGCATTTCCCCTGTCTGATTGCTCTCTAGTGGTGTCTAGCCACTTCCGCTGGGAAGCCCGAGGCTTCTGCTTTTCGCCCACCATTTTTTTTTTAGCCTCAGCGATATGCGCTTGGGCAAAGCTTCGCCCCAGCGTTAATTAAAAAAAAAAGTGATTAGTTTTAGGCTTCGGATGCGTCCAGGACCTCACAGAGGCTAGTTTTGCTGTAAAAGTTTAAAGGGCAGTGTTCCTTCAGGGCATGATTTTCGGGATAGGGTTTCTGCGCCTGCGCAAAGATCTCAAATCTGTGGATGGCTGCCTATGTGCATGCGCAAAATGTAAAAAATAAATAAAAACCCCATCAACACGTGCTGCTGCACGCCTAGTGTGGATGCCCGGGAGCGATGTGTTGCGCGGTGAGGGAGGTGAGTGTGACCGCGCTTGCCCCGGACCAAATTAGTCCACTTGGAACCGGAGCAGTTTAAACCACTCCCGGCAGGCCGTCTGAACGCACCCTCTCTCTCTCTCTCTCTCTCTCTCTCTCTCTCTCGCTCTCTCCCTCTCGCTCTCTCACTACTCTCTCTCACACACACACACACACACACACACACACACACACAGCTCCTTAAGATAGAATCAGAACAGGCTCTTAGTTTTCACATGCTTCCTGTACATCTTACACATTGTTCGAAGTGAAGGAATGATTCTTTGAGGTGGACTCAGAATGGTTTGTTTACAATGAAGAAGATGTGTGTGCGTGTGTAACACTGTGGAAATGTAATATCACATAAAAACTGTAGTATTCTCAGGCACAAAAAGCACTGCAAACCAGTAATTTGCAAACTGTGGTTCAGGAACAATAAACTAGGGGCAAATATTACACCACATTGGATCCACTGACTGTAATTTAGTTGCACTGAGCAGTTGTGGGGGGGAGGGGTCCCAAATGAAGACAGTATTTGGGAGAATTCCCCCCCCCCTTTCTCTGTTTCTTGAGAAGGTTTTTTCCCCTGATTGGAAATATCAGCCCTTCTTGCTTTAGGTTCCAGTAGGGGGAAAAAGACAGGTACCTATATTGTTCACCATTGTTTTGTGTAGGGTGGCCCTGATTTAGAAGCTTTGTGAAAGGATCAGCAAATTAGTGACCTGTATCCAATAGACAACAGGGGACAAAAGCCACATGAAAGACTATATGAAGAAATAATGTGATCTCATTTACTAGAATGTTTATGAACCAACCTCATAAGGAATTTAAAGTTAGTTTTCTGATAATCTTACCTTATCCCCTTTTGGTCCTGGAGGCCCCTGTAGAGTTTAACAAGAAAACAATAAGCTCATAGCTCATTAATCTATAGTTTTGACTGCAATTTCCTCTTTCTAGTGTTAACCAAAGCATATTGTTATAGCATGGGCATTCATCCTTAGGGCTGCCAAACCCCCGGTCCAGCTGGGGGTTCCCCTGATTTTTGGGACTTCAATCTGCTGCTGGCCAGCTGGCAGGCAGGGGAAGCCCCACCCCCAAACAGGGACATTGTTGCATGACATTCCTGTCATGGTGATGTCACCTAGAAGTGATGTCATTGCGCTGCTGATGTTGGGGGCTGCCGCTCTAGTTTTTCGGCAAACTCTATGGCTTTGAGGGCAAAAAAGATCCCAGACAGCAGCCCAGAGCTCCACACTGGCAGCAAGGTATGACCTGGCAACCCTATTTATCCTAGACTTGGTTTTCCCCCCAATTATTAGTTATAATAATTACAAAAATGGGCTCCTTTGAAATTATGTAACAAATATGAAAACCAAACAATTCCCCCATCTAAACAGCTTGTATTGAAAATTTCCCATGATTTCCTTTCATTTTGTTCATTTCATTATTACAGTCTATTTCTCTCAGCTGGCAGGAGGGGGGTGCTTACAGGCAGGGAAACTAGGCCTAGGACTGCGTTGCTGGCAGCATGGTGACGTCACTTCCAGTGAGCACTGGAAGCCATGTCATCACGTTGCCAATGACACAGGGACACTCTGGTATTTGGGCAAAAACATTATGGTTAAAATGACTTCTACCATAGAGTTTTTGCCCAAATATCAGAGTATCCTTGCATCCCTGGCAATGTGAAGATGTCAATTCAGGTGCTCACTAGAAGTAACACTGCTGGCGATGCAGGCTTAGACCTAGTTTTCCTGCCTGTAAATCCCCACCTCCAATCCCACCCCTTGCCAGTTTACCTGGCAACCCTATGCAGCCAGCACTTTCGTAACAAGGGCATAGAGAGAGCTCAGTGTTTCTCAGGGAGAGGGGAGGGAATGCTCTGGGTGAGACTGCAAGCTGTAGCCACTGAGAATACATGCGTATGTGAAGTATTCTAATCCTGAAGGATATGCTTTCCTCTATTCTCCCAATTCCTGCCCTCTTGTGCCAAATTTCTTCTTGCAGTCTGCACTCTCCTGCATGCCTGCTGCTCTTATCCCCCTCTCAAGCAAGTCTACCTTAAGGTCCTCTTCCTCCTGCAGCCCGCTCGCCCAGATGCCTTGTTCCACCAAATGCCCTGGCCTTATCAGTCTGCCTCTCCCTTATGCTACTATTCTTCAAGCTAAGTGGCTGCAGTGCTGTCTGTGTTACTCTTTGGACTTTTTCTCTTTGTTCTGTCTTTCTGAAATTTGGCAGTGTGTGTGTCCTTGGGAAATAGTACAGAACCCCAATTTGGATGGACAAACACGAAGGTGCAGACTGAGGAAAGTGTGTGTGTGTTCCATTCAAACCAATGGAAAATAATAATGAAACAGAAGGAAGGAAGGAAGGAAGGAAGGAAGAAAGGAAGGAAGGAAGGAAGGAAGGAAGGAAGGATGGATAATGGGAACAAAACAATATAAAACAGTTCATGAACAAAACAGTCCCTTTTTGAATTAGTAACAAAAACAAAAGAAACAAAAAGCAAATCTACTGTATACCCAACCTGTTTTTATTTACTGCTGCCTCAGTGAGCAGTAGAGGTGCCAACTCCAGTTTGGGGAATTCCTGGAGATTTGGGAATGGAGCCTAGGGAGGGTGGGGTTTGGGAAGGGAGAGACCTCAGTGAGGTATGATGCTGCAGAGACTGCTCTCCAAATCAGCCATTTTCCCTGAGGGAACTTATTTCTGTGGACTGGAGAACAGTTATAATTTCAGGTCCCACCTGGAGGTTGACAACTCTAGGTAGTTTAACTAGGTTATAATTAGACTCAAAGTTTGAGTCCAGTGGCACCTTTAAGACCAACAACCCAAAAAGCACACAAAAACTTATACTAGAATAAAACTTTGTTGGTCTTAAAGGTACCACTGGACTCAAACTTTGAGTCTAATTATAACCTAGTTAAACTACCTAGAGTTGTCAACCTCCAGGTGGGACTTGACTTTTTAAATTACAGAAATGGAGGCTTTGGTATATATTACCACAGCTCCATCTCCTGTGTAAAACATGTCCAGGAGACCAGCTAAACCTGGACTGTAAATTCTTTGCCTTTCATTGTTCAAGACACTGAAAATATAAGCAGCATGGTTTGTACACTATCTGTAAGTTGTCCAAGTGGCGGAACAGTCCTGCTCTGACCTGGAGGCCATATCCATTGTGCCTTCCAAGGTTTTCCTAACACCTGGAATGACTTTTCTCTCTCTCTGTTCAACTGCCACCACCATTTGGCCTTAGTAGGAGTTGCCCACTGGGAGGGCCAGGGCTCCCAGCTTCCCATCTAAGTTCTGAGGCCTTGCCTTTATATTTCCCGCTATCCAGTGGCTGGTTATCACAGGGACTGCTTACTGCTTTGTGCACCACTAGGGGAGTAGCCACTTGCCAACTGACTCAGTTTATATATCACTCAGCTTTCTCTTTCTCCCACTGTCTACCCCTCCCTTTTTTCTTTTAAGCGAAATACCTCCCCTTTTTAGGGGAGCCAATAAAACCTTTATTAAAAAAAAATACAGTGGAGGTCTACATGGTACAGAGAACCACTACCAGTATCAAAAGTTATGAAGCATTTATTAAAAAGAAATGTTCATACGCATACTCTTAAAGCAGCATCAGATTGAGCAAGGGATTCAAAAGAAAACAGTAAAATGCAATTTCTTCATCCCTCCCTGCATGCCCTAGCAGATGTTCAATATAAGGCAGGCTCCTTAGCTTAGAAAGTTACTAGATGTTCTACAGAGTTTCTGTCACTATGAAGCCTCTTTCAGGTGTGTAGCCTAGCACATGGTAATGACTGCCTCCCACAAACCTCAGTTAAGAGTTCTGTCTGCCTCAATGAAATCAGCACAAAAAACAGTCACTTCCTTGGTCCCAGGAGTTTTATCATTTTTCTTTCTCCTCCAACTGACCAGGCTAGGCCAGGTCAAAGAAGCTTTTCCTAACGTCTCTAGGAATTTCCTCCTGAAGTCTTTCTAGTACTTAATTCCTCCAAATCTCTGTTCTCTACTTGGGTGAGGAAGGGAAGATTGATCACCCCATTGTCTCTTACTAAACCTATTAGCATTTCTAAAAGGGTGGCTGAGGTGAGGCTGCAAAGAAACTGAATTGACCTTCCCCCTCCTGCCTATTCTCTGCCAAGAGAAACTTTTTAAAACTCAGAGTGAAAAATGCATTTCTTCACAGTCTATAAATAACTTCCAGTTAAAATGATGTCTGCACAATTTTTTTGCAACTGGCAATAGAAGATTTCAAACAGTATCCTCTTCTGAGCATGAAAGCCAGTGCCACACAGATACCCAGGAGACCCAGTCCTTGAATAAATAGGATACCTTCTGTGAAAGTTATTACTTCATACTGTCAACATGTTTGTGAAATGAAGACACTCTCACTTACACTAGTAGGCTTTCATGTGGATACAGAGTTGCCTGTTTGAATGCTGTTAAATGTAAGATCAAGGGGGAACTTAACAGCAAGATTCTCAAGATACTAGTAAAACCATATTAACAAGTCCACATTGAAGTAAATTATCGGTGGAAATTATACAACTGCATAGCAACAACTTTTCATCATTATTCTGTGACAATCTAAATAAGGGTACTTGTTTAGTTCATCCATGTTTACATTACTCAGAACATTACTTACTGGCTTGCCATCCAAACCAAGAGGGCCCTAAAACAAAAGAACAAAGGAGTAGGTTACAAAAGGATATTAATTTGGAACTCAAGAAATCCTGATTTATCCTGAAGACTTTTCCATATGATCATCTGTGGTGATCTCCAGTTGCATTTTAGACTTTGCACAACAGTCCTGAAAATCCCTTCCAAGGTCAATAGTACAATACCCCATCTTCAGGTAATAGACAAGGGTGAAAACAAACTTTCTATGGGGGATAGCTGCCTCCACCTTTTAAAAAGCCTTCTTAGAAGAGCACTTCAGAAAAAAAGTGTGGCAGGGAAGATTATAACATAACAGAAAAGCTGTATAACAAGTCACGAGTTGGTATTTGCAAAATCAACAAAGAATTGAATGTTCTTCCCTGGGGATTGTAAAACGTAAGATGGGTGAACAAAACGAAGGTGGCAGAGGATGGAGGAGGTTGTGTCACCTGTTACTAACCAAGTCACATGAGGTATTTATGATGCTCTTGTAAACCTATCTCACACAATAATAATACAGATTAATGTACTATTAGGAGGAAATAGTGTGATGTAGTTCTGAATAATGGGAAAATGTCACGTCTTCATAAAAGAAGTAAAGCCTCGAAAGACAACATATAGGCTGTATACTTCAAATGGAAAAATGCACATTTATTGGACAAAAATCTGACTATGCAAGAAAACAACCCAGATGTGTTTACATTGGATCTTAATTATTTATCAATATTTTGGTTGCTTTCCAAGCACACCTTTCCATCCCCTTGTAATATTTCTTAAAATAAAAAAAAATGGTTCAACCTTGTTATACAGTAAGTGGGTACTCTTCATTTGCAGACTGCCCCATATAACATCTACTCATTCATTTTTAAAAGATTAATAATTAACAGTGATAAAAAGCAGGTTTGCCATATTTCCCAGAAATCTGAATATTAACAGGAATTAAGAAGATGCATATGGCACCTAGGATTCTCAACCAGCCTAGATTTTCAGCCTCCATTTGAAATAGAAATCTGATGTGCGGAAATAAGTATCCGCACGCAGGGGGCATGTTCGGTATTAGATATATAGATTAACATAGATCTCTCCTTCGCACCCTTTTCTTTGTTTTGGCTAACCTTTAGCTACTTTTTAACATTTACTTGTGAATGCTACAGTGCATTGAGGGGGCATTATATTGCACAAAATGATCTTGATTAAGACTATAGGATCTACCTAGTGACCTCTAGAAGAAGGATATACCTGATACCCCCATACTTCTCTGCCAGCCGTAGGTACAGCTGTGAAAGTCATGGTGGTGAACAGGTTCTGCTCCCTGTTCTTTGGCACTCCAGGGGTGATCATTGTATTTCCTGTTTCTGTTTCTTAAGGTACGAACTGGAAAAATAGAAGAGACTCACTTGTTAACAATGTACCACAATTTTAAAATGAGGTGTGGGCCTATGAGAAATATGATGACTTACTGCCAAAAAAACACACGTTACAATATAGGACATCAGAGAGAGAGAGCTGATTGTTAGCAGGTGTTATGGAGCTAGGGTAGGAGTTAGTTTCAATGTCAAATGGAATTAGATTACTTTCACATATATTCCAATTGTGTGATTTTTATGATTCATACTGTATACTAGGTAGGATGGGTGATGTGTAAGGAGGAAAGTGGCTTAGGGCAATCTGATTGCAACAGAAGTGATGTGGACAACAAGGGATAGATCTAAATAAATAGAGAGGAGATTTATTGGGAAAAAGGGAGGAGGGAATTCCAGAACAACTTGGGGGCTTCTCTGTGTGTGCATACTGGCTATTGTAATGGATGCTATTAACTGCAGTGAGAATTTTTATACACTCACACATCCCACCCGCACAAACACATCCTCCACCACTGAACTGTGGCCTCTTCACGAAGTGTATGAAATCATTTCCTAAGTACCTGAAATAGCTTTTTTGTACTTTTGTACTTATATTGTTATGTGGAAGTATTGGTCAGAATTCAGTAATTTACTCTTGCAGATTATTCAATGTGCTGTTGCATACTAGGGATGAACTGTCAGTTCTGGGAAATAATTTTCCACAGCTTTCTCGGTGGGGTTTTATGAACTATGCACATCATACTGACAATCTGATTGTCAATCTGCTATCCTTGATCAAATCTCCTGATGTATTTAACCTTAAAAAACAAAAGGGGTCCCACTTTTGTGTCAGAACTAAAGAGCTGTGAAGTGGAGGGTATCCTTCGTCCCCTGATTATTTTTCCAGTGGTAAGTCTCTGCCACCCAATTCCCATTGTAGTGGTAGGGAAAAAAGACAGGTATAATAAGGTACCTTATATTTCCCTTCTTGGGTTAGCAGCAATTTAGAAGGATGGATTTCTTTCAGGAAAATGGTGAGGGTGAGAAAAGTTATTTCCCCACCATCCAGAGCCACATCCTAGTTCAAATCTGGGGTCCCCATGGCTGCCCTTTAACATTCAAATATATTGGGAGGATCATGGGTCTGAACATGAAGTTCAGCCCTGCAAAAGTCATTTTTGGGTAATTTCATACATTTGAATCAGTACAAGAGAAAGCTGTCCACTCTTTCAATCTTGCTTATTTCCCTCCAGTACACAGAGGTATCTCAAGTTGCTTTACACTGAGCCAGATTTTGCTCCAATTAGCTCGGCATTATCTACTCTGACAGGCAGTAGATGTGCTCTAGTGTCTCCAGCATGGAAAGGCCCTTCCCCAAACCTGCTCCTTTAATTGGAGATGCCAGGGATTGAATCACAGACCTGCTTGTGAAAATATCCTCTAACCACTGAACTGTGGCCTCTTCCCAAATGAATACGGAATATATGAAATACTTTCCTAAGTACCTGAAATCATTTGCACATGGCACGTTAACTTCCTGAATCACCCTCTCCAGACTGACATGTACAGGGCTGGCCCTCCACTAGGCAGCCCTCCTTCCCTCTACTGTGCCTTGTCTGACTATGGCGGACAGTGAGGGAGCAAGTGGGGCAAGAAGGAAAATGGTAGCCTCTCCCCATGGAACTGAGGACGGTGGGAACTATCTTCCCACTTCCTTATGGTGGGCACAATCTTCTTGTCTCTCCACAGTCCACAGGGGGGGGGGGTAAGGAGGGCAGGTACCATATTCCCACCTTCCCACACCATGGGGGTGGGGTGGATTGTCTGCCCTAGCCTAGGACATCCAAAATCTTTGGGCCTGCCCAGTATACATATTGCCTCTACCATGTCCCGAACCAGCAACATATTTTATCTCTCTTCCCTTTTTCCTATTTTTTTAAAATATCCAGGCTAAGGAAGCATTCTGAGAAATTCAAAGCAAGCTCACTATGGTGGGCCTTTTAACTGGCCCTAATAAAGGTATTATGCTGTATGGTATTGTTGCAATATGGATTCTTCCCTGTACTGTCCTTGTTTTGAAAACTGGAATGGGCTCCTTAGTTCCACCATCTCCTTATCTTTGCATAGCAAACATTACCTTGTTAGTATTTTGCTAATATTCCAAACTGTTTACCTTTGACATCACATTGTTGCATTATGCAATACATATCTAAAGGCCCTTTCCTCTCTTTATATAAGAGTTGGTCTCTTGCAGCCAACAGAGAGAGGTCATGACAGTAAGATGAAGGAGAGAAGAACTCATAATTTAGTCTAACAATCCTGCTTTCCTTGGCATTGTAAAATGGTCAGTCAGGAAGCTTTTCTGTGGCTTCTTCTTTCATACCTTTATTTTCTTGGCTGATACACAGATAAAATTCTTCTAAGACACTGATTTTCATATAAATATTTTGTCACCCAGATTTCTGGGAATCTGATATGGCAACCTTATGCAACTGTAAAGTTAAAGGCATTTTACACAAGTATGAAGAAATAAGCACTGACAGTAGTGACATGATACATTTTAAAAGAGTCTCAAAGGTAGTAACAGAATTAATGATTTGGAAGGAGGAAAAAGATGGTAGCAAATGGCAGCGCGCTGACATCTAAGGCAACAAGAGAAATAGCAGCAAAAGCGGTAGAAGCGCATGCTTGATCAGATCTCCCCTACTGCTTAGAATTCCTCCCAAACTTTGTTTTGCTTTTTAAAGTAAAAGCATATGTTAAGAGAATAGTGTCCACCTACAAAGAGCCACTCAATAAAAGAGAATATTCTAAACAGATTATAACACAAACAATGTGAATTGTTCCCTATAAGCAGGATAACTAGCATATCTGTAGCTACAGGTAGCAGTTAGGTGACTGGAAAAATAAGTATGTTTGAAAACTTTAGCCGATGCTCTTACTGCACAGTTTGTACTGAACACGAGGGGGAAAAAAATCCAACCAACACAGCCTTCATATAAGATACCCTGAACGGAAACATGGTTTGCTGAATTGTATTGTTTCTCAAGTGACTACGGAAACGTCTTTAATTATAACTAATTTCCACAAAGTACTTTCAGTAATTTTCTGTCATAGACCCAACTGTCCTGCATAGAGAAAAGCCACAACCATTTATGGATATTTATAGGATGAAGACATGAACCTCAAGTATCTTTAACGGGCCAGATAACGCGGAGGGAGATGTGCCTGTTCGCCCCGGAGCAAAATAAAGCACGGTAGCCTGATCACACGGTTCCCCGAGTCTCTGTGCTTAGGCTGCTAGCTGGCGATCACACAGTGATGCTGCAGCATGGCAAAGAAGCGGCACGATCACACCAGCATTTCGCATTTGTGCACATGCGCAGTTCCGCAGAGCAGCACTGCTTTCAGTTTCGTGTTTGTGCGCATGCGCTTACGAAAAACATCTGATTCGTGACGGGACGTGGACGGGATGCCACAGGATATTAGCGCTCCTGACATCAGACGCCCGCCTGTGCTGCGCGTTTTCCGAATACTAGTGCACTTTCCTTGGTACTTTTTAACTCTGCACCTTTGGCTGGACGCCACAGGTGCGCTACGCTTCCCAGATGTTGCTGTGTGATCGCGCCCCGAAAATCCACCCGACATTTGTGCCTTTCATGTGGCAAATTCTCTGTGTGACCGGGGCTGTGATTTATTATTTATTTAGGATATTTACGTAGTATATCCACTACCTAGATGATACTAATGTAGCATATCCACGATGTGCATTCACCTTTAAGAGTTCAGCACCCCAAGTAATAAAACTATTAAAAAGTCTATATATACACAACCATTCTTGTATAGAACTGTCATAAAACATCAAAATAAAGTTTCAGTCATCTGTTGGTGCCAGGCCACGTCTAGATCCTGAGTGACTGCATATGGGCGGCAGAAAATTTAAAAAACAAAAAACAAAGGCGGTGAATATAATTCCACCACTGGATACACAGGCAAACATTTGGCAATTGCTCCATCGATTTCCCATACTGCCACTTTGAATGGTAAAGTTGAATTAGGAGAAATCATTCTTTCTTAAGTGGAATAATATGGTGTGAGAGACCACATTCATTGACATCACTCCTTCAATTCAGGCTGTCCTTGTTTCAGACCCATAACATCCATCTGTAATGCAGATGGAAGTAGATCCTATACTGAGTCTCGAGAGATACGAAGGTTCGGCTATGCCATGAGCAAATCCAGAGGCGTTAGCTAGCTTTTGAAATTTTGGCAGACTGTCTCTTCTGGTTAATTTAGATAACATGTTAGCCACTTAACAGTTTATTTTGAAGAGATGTATTGTGGGGAAACATATAACTAAGACTTGCTTCTCAATCTCTTTACTGGGCTTATGTGTGTGGTCACAAGCATTATGTGGAGGCCCTATAGTTCCCTGGCATTTGAATCTGTGGCCCAAAGTCACAGGTTCTACCCAGGTTTTAAAATCTAGGATGCAAATCTACCCAGGTTAAAATCTAGGATGCATATCATGAAATTGTTCCTGGAAGTTCTGTACCTGGACTTATGATCTCATATCAAATGACTATTTTACCTCTCTGTTAATTTTGTTATCCCATCCTTCAGCCAAGGAGCAAAGGGCAGCACATATGGTTCCCTCCCTCCACCCATTTTACTCTCACAACAGTGCAGTGGGGCATGTAAGGCTGAGATACAGTGAATGGCTCAGGATCACCCAGTCTCCACGATCCAATGGACAGAAAAATACTACACATGGACCTTAGACACCCCATTCCACAGATTTTCTAACAGAGAAGAAAAGTACAATTTGCAGGTCTCTAGAATGGACTAACCTTAAAATAATGATTCTTGTAGAATGTCGTCAAAAACAGGGCTACCAGTTACACTCTGTAACATTTTTTTTTTTTTGGTGAACAGAAGGTCACAAGACTTGAATCAAAACAGCAAGCTTAACCTATATTTTAAAAACTGGACACATGT